AAAAAATTTTTTTTTTTTTTTTTTGGTTTTTGAGACAGGGTCTCACTGTGTAGTTGAGACTGACCTGGAACTTACTATGTAGCCCAGGCTGGCCTCGAACTCACAGCAATCCTCCTGCCTCAGCCTGCCAAGTGCTGGAATTACAGGTGTGCGCCACCACACCCGGCTAGAAATGTTTTAAATATTTAAATTGTATTATGTTTCTGTTTTAAATAAGTAGAAATATTTGAAAGTATTTTCTGGTCATTTGACATTGAAAAATTAATATGGAACTTAGTCAAACCTGAAGGTCAGGAAACAAAATTTCAGAAACATGAAGCCAAATCAAATTAAAATTCTGGAAGCAAAATATCTGGCTCTCATAGAAACTCATAATAATTCCTCAGTCTTTCCTCATTCTCCATGCTTGTGGTCCGTCTTCATAACAAACTCTTTTCATTATAGTTTATACTTATTGGCTAATGATTACTACCCTGACTATTAGATAACATTGTAGAATTCTTAATATCCATGGCTAAGAATGAAATCTCCCAAATTATTGCAAGAGTTGACAGAAATTCATATAATTTATTGAGACTGTTATAACTTTATCTGCATAACTTTTCTGCATAAATTGCAAAATACATATCACCCCATTTGGAAGTATTTTGCACTAACAGATTTTAGTATTTAATAAATGAGGGTCATAGTTAATAAAAATGGTTGATATTCATTTTTGGCCTTAATGTAAGAGAGAGCAGAGAATTCGATTGAATGAATTTGAACTTTAGAGTGTCCTTGCCTCTTGGATATTCAGCAAGCCTGTGCATTTTTATTCTTGAGACATTTAAAGAAGACGCTGCCCTAATATTCTATTCATATCCTCGTGATTATGTATTAGTAAGGAAGTGGTTGATTATTTTTGAGACACTAACATTGTAGCTCAAGAAAGTGCTTCTCTGTCATGTCATCTCTTGTTCTTATATTCTACCTTGTTTTCATATTCTATCTTATGAAAAGAGACACTGCTTAGTTTTAATTAAATCTTCCTAGCAAGTTTTCATCAGATAAATGCTTCAGGAAGGAGGTGCATTTTCATGCTTCAGACAATGTAAACAATTCAAGATTTTTTTTCTGAACAAAAGATCAAAATCAAAATTGTTTTGTTTTACTTTGGCTTCTTGCGTAAAGGTGCAGTAATCTAATCACTATCATCAGTCAGCCTGCTTTTAAATATCAACAGTGTTTGCAGTACATCATTTTATTACTATTCTCTTTTGCCTCACCTCTACCTTTGGTCCAGAAATTCCATGTCTTGTATGGTATTTTATTCCAAAATATTTAGTTTAAAATCGCACTGCTGGTCTTTCCACCTAAGTATCTGTTTGGAAGAATTCTTTCCCTCAACCAACAAAGAAAGTTCATTTCACAGGCAGGTAGAACTCAACAAGAAGTGACTCCCCAAATAGCCAGAGACAGGATTTACATACCAGATTAAGAAAATAGTTTTAGAATTTCCATGAGAACTATGAAAGTTTCTACTGGACTTTTTCACACTGATGCTTATGTTATTGGGTGATGTTACACCTGGTGGAAATTCCCCAGGAAGGAGATTAACTCCAGATGAATTTCTTCCTCTATGGGCTCATCTTCCCTCAGAGTGAGTCGACAGCAGGTATAGTTTCAGGGTCTCCGCTCAAGTTCAGGTTGTTTCTTTCTGCAGCTGCTTTTTGCCCAGGTGTTTTCAGTTTAGCATACTCTTCATGGCACTTTGGTGGACTGTTGGTCTTTTCATTTCCTTTTCTGACTAGTGTTTTGGTTTTTGTACTAAACATCCCCACATGGATTCAGTTTGCCTCTAAGTCCAGGGGCCTGTGGTAAGTTGTGATTCATCACCCATTCTTCTTGGGCTCCTTCAGCCCTGCCTCTGTCATACTCTGGCCGATTCTCAGTCATACCAGGACTTTCCTCTCCTGGCCAGTGGAAAATGATGAGTCAATCACAGCTACGTATTTATTAAGCAGTCTAATGCATTTTAAAGTTAGTTGTTGCATTGGAAAACAAAGTAAAAATTATATAATCCTAATAATAACATTAAAAGATAGTGTGCTTTGACAAAATAAGATATCACTCAGGGATATCAAGACTTTGGTCATCCAGGGCCTATAAAATAGGAAATGCCATTGGTCATAGTTGCCATTTTCATATTTGTGGCCTATTATGTTTATTAGACTTACTAACAGTTTATATTTGGTCATAAGGCAGCTTGTCCATGTGATTCCTATTCATCCTGATTATTTGCATTAAAGGAAAGTCAAGTGTAAAAGTACATTGAGAAAGTTATACATATATACTTGATTTAGTCTGTTCTTTCTGCTATAACAAAATACCTGACTGAGTAATTTATAAGTCAGAAATTTATTACTATTGTTTGTCACTATTCTGCAAGACCAAGAGTTCAGTATATTCGTTTGATGTCTGGTGAAGGCAACTTTCTGCTTCCAAGATGGAATTTCTTGCTATGTTTTCCCATAGCATAGGAGAAAACACATTCGTGCCACCTCTTTTCAAGGATGGTATTCTTATTAATGAGGGAATAGCCCTTAAGTAACTTTCCAAAGCTCTCTGCTCTTAACGACTTCACATTGTTGATTAAGTTTTAACTTATGAATTTTGAATAGACATATCCAGACAATTGCAGGATGCAAATGATTTCTTCTAAAATTCCATTTGATGAGGAAAAATTGAAAGTTCAGTTTCCTTAGGTACACTTATCCCTGTGCTTGTTTTACAATGCTTATTACTATTCTACAACTTCAGTTTAAACATGAGATTTCTAAAGCTGATGAATACTTTGCTGTGGACAATGTATGTTTTGTGAAATAAAAACATTTAGAAATTTTCCTTTCTGAAATAGAAAACATTTAAAATGATTGTATCTGTTTGATTTATAATAATTATTACCAAAATGGTATGGTAATAACAAAAAGCAACAATGTACTTTACTCCTGTGGGTCTGCTAAAATCAGTGTGCTATAAGATTAAATAATTTGTGAAGAATATTATATATTAATTATTTACTAGTGGCCTATATTATTTAAAAGAGAATAGCATGGCTTAGCAATCACAATGATCAGTCCTAAAAGGCCCATTATAATTTGAGAAATAGATATTATGGCTCTGAGATGGAATGACAATATTTTAAGTCACCTGAATTGTTAAATCTGCTAGATAAATGATGTTCTCTTTTTTTCATAAGAGAAACACTTGCTGCTGCTTTGTCTCCATAGGAATTTTAAAAGAAGAATGACAGTTTAAGTAGGGCTGTTGAGGGAGGAAAATAGCCCACTGAGTTCTGCATCAGATGCAGATGAACTGGGTAACAGACAGTGACTTACTTTTCATGGTTATTGTGTGGATATAACACTGAGAAAGCATGGAATAATTTTCCTCAATATCCCTGCACTGGTCTAACTCAACATAAGCATTTCTTTTTTAAACATGTACGTGGAAAGAAAGTATAATAAAGTATATGGTATGACATGTTACAAAGGCTTTCCAACACCTATCTTGCTTAATCATAAATGGGAAATGGGAAAAATTGTGATATCATTAAGAAACGCTGTGAAAATTTATTTTCTCATGAATGGAAAGTTTTCTAAAGGTAGGGCAGCTTCTCATTTAAAAGAATGGTTAAAACATGGCTTTATTATAAGGAGCATCCAAGTTTCTATTAACTTCATAATTAACTTTTATATCCTGCAATCTAATTTCATGAGCAAATATTGCTCATACACTTCTTAGACAACACCCCACGCGTGGCAATAATTTATGCTGTAGTAATGAATTAACTCTCTCATGCTCTATTTTCCTTTCCAGCACTTGTAAAAGAAATTTTAACTATGCTACAACCACTTTAAACAGCTTTGAATAGGAGTGATATAACATTTTTCTTAACTCTAATACATAAGTTTAGAACTGCGCTTTAATCTACATCAACTCTTCTTAATGACAGGCCACTTTACTTTGAGTTTATTTGGATAACACTTTCTAAATGTACTACTTTCTAAATTCACTACTGCAGGCTAGCAGCCTGACAAAATGAGGAAGCAGACTTGATATGTGGTATTTTTAAAGGGAGGGAGATGCCAAAATTGTACAAGGAGAAACGAATCTTTAAAGATTATTACTACGTGTCTACTAAAGTAGGGAGTAGGTGGCATCATATTCTGAGATATAAATTCTCTGAGGCAGAACATAGAATTTTACTACCTCAGTGTAATAAGATGTATTGTGCTATCAGCAAAGGCCATGGAGCTCTATGTGATTAAAATAAAAAAGAGTCCAAGTATCTGCCTTTAACTACCATTTAATGATAATGATTTTTGTCTTTAGCATTTATATTGGAAGTCAAGGAAGAGGCAAGCTACAGGCTATTTAATAATAATATGAATAATAATAACCAATAATCGCCCTTCTCCCTTCCTTCTTAGCAGTCCATGTTTATTCTGCATGAAAATGTTCTTCCTTCATCTTAGTTTATATGGTAATGGAAATATTAGTTTAAAAATTGTCATGCACCACATGCTGATGAAGGGAATTTTAGTATTAGATTTTCATTAGGAAAGAAGTCACAGCAAAGGGATATGTGCCATCCCTTTTCTATGTTACTTCGTTTATTTTTTATGGTGACCCTTTAAGGTACATACCGTCACTCATTTGCTTTTGCAAATGTGGAAGGTTAAGCCCTATTAGCATCTAATAAGTGTGGTCTCATACCAGCAGAGACGGGCAACTTGCTCATACTGAGTGGTGAAAGCCAGTCGTTCAGCTATTCAGAATTTTGTTGGTAGCAAGAAATCCTCTTTCTAATACTCCACTCTCCCCTCCCGTTTTGAAGTAGCCCTGCGAGCCCATTACTGCTGGCTTACTCACTTTCAGTATATTCAAAAACAGGCTTGCATTAGAAAAGAAGTAAGTGCATTCCTCTCAACCTACAGCGCTCTGGCTTGAGGAGAGTCTGATTCAGAGATGGATGAGATACAAATGAGGAACAGTACGCAAGGCACTTTCACTTCCCTTTCTCTTTGTTTCAGTTACTTCCCTGTTTGTCAAATGCATTTTTCTTTCTCACTTAATGGAAACTCCATGAGACTTAAAGCATTCTTATACATTTTGTGTTTTTCCATATGTCCACAAGAATAGTTGCTAGCATAATAAATATAAATGGAGCATGAGAGATGAATTGTTAGCAATCAGATCAGAGCATTGTGTTGGTTTTAACTATAACGAAGCTTATTATTTTCTTTAAGATATCATCATGAGTAGAGTCACATTTTATACACTTCTACTTGATGTAGACAATGTAGAAACCTTTTAAATTTTAATTTATAGTCATTTTGGTCTCTTGCCTAAAAAAGTAGTATGTAACTTTTTTTGCTTAGATACAAAGTATAAAAGTATGTTACATGTATAAAAGTGTCAAATATTCTTCAAATTTTCCAAATAAAATGGAAAATAATGAAGGACAATAATAACATCTTAGACTTTAAAATCTGGCAAAAATAACAAAATAGGATGAGCAATCTCATCCATCCTCCAACAAAAAAGAAACAAAAAGTCAAGTTATAAATTGGGCTCTCTGAGAATTACTTGTTTTTAAAGTAGTAATCTGTACACAGTTAAACATATACAAAGGCCCACATAGAAATGGCTACTTGCCAAAGCTAATATTTGAACACACATACACAGAGTCACATGTGCATACAGAAACACACACACAGAGTTTAAAAATGCTTATATTCTTTTTCAATTTCAGAGGAGCCTATGGTCATGACGTAGGAAAACGTCCTTGGATTATAGGAGATGAAAGTATTGTAGGCCTTATGAAGGATATTGTAGGTAAGTACAAAATGCACTAATTTTTTTCCTGCATTACAATTGTAAAGATTTACTATATAGTCACCAGCATAAGAAATAATGGAAAAATTTCATTGAATGATATCCTGCTTTTCTATTTTAATCCATATTTTTAACTTAGATGTTTTTCACTTAAAAGTTGCTATCATGGGGCCAGGGATTTAGCTCAGTGGTTTGGTGGCCTGCCTTGCAAGCGCAAGGACCGGAGTTCAATCCTCAGTACCAAAAAAAAAAAAAAAAACCCAAAAACGTTGCTATCATGGACTACCTTAGTCTCTTTTCTCATTGCTGGGACAAACTACTTGACAACCACTATTTAAAGGAGGAAAGGTTTATTTTAATTCATAATTCATGGAGATTTCAGCTAGCTCCAAGGGAGGGAGGTATGGCAGAAGGGCATGGTAGAGAAGAAACCATCCATGGCAGAGGTAGAATGAAGCAACAAAGCAGAAAGCAATGAGCTGCCCTTTCCCTTTCATCCCATCCAGGCCATATCCAGTGTGATTGGTGCCACTCTCACCCAGGATGGGCTTCTTTGTCTACTATTCTAAACCACTTTAGTTATCATACACCATTAATCCATAATCACACACCATAGATCGAGCCACTTCCACAAAGCCCTATCTATGAACACAGGAGGCTTTGGTTAGATATCTAGATAAAAGACACAGAATTGACATAACTAGGTTGTTTGGCATAAAAAGAAAATATATCTTTTTTTGGAATAATTTAAAAATAATATTTAGCCCCCCTGTGGAAAGCATGTGCATTTTATTAATTTACAAATAAATTTCACAAAATCAATGTACATGAATTTTCTATAATAGCACTACTTGATCAACCATAACTCTACATGTAGAAGTATGAAACAGCATTTCTGTCATTTTTGTCACTAGGACAAAATACTTGAAATCCACAATTTAAAGGAGAAAAGGTTCATTTTGTTCATGGTTTCTGTAGGATTCATTGCATAGTTGATTGAATCCAAGGTAGACTGGACATGATGGAAGGATTTGCTCACAATTTGGTAGCCAGGAATCAGAAAGAGAAAGGAGAAGCTAGGGAGGGAAATGTATCCTTCCAGGTCACACTCCCAGTCACTAAATTCTACCTCCTAATAGCACCAATGGATGAATCCACTGATGAGTACAGTGCCTCTGTGATCCAATTACCTTCTACGTGCCCTATTTCTAAACACATGAGGCTTTGGGGGGACATTCTAGATCCAAACCCTGACACAGCTTCACACACTACCCTCTCAGGGGCACACTCACAAGGCTCCAAGGACTTCTAAAATGTGAGTAGAAGCCTCCAAAATAAAAAGATTCTTAAATTATGCATGCTCATAAAACCAGCATCATGTGGATGACACTGCAGTCTGCTACCATTTCAAACAGTAGTCAGACCCCTTTGGACCAAGACTGCAGAGGCCTCTAAGTCCTTGAATAGGGGAACACTATGGAATGAATACAGGGGTATCAATTCCCTCAGAGGCTGTACCAGAGAAGTATGCCCAGAGACACAATTTTTAAAACAGGTTTACCTTGACCCTTTAAATCCATGAGCCAGTGAAGAGTATGTTCTTGCCCATTCCTGAAATGCCCTCAAGGCATCTTTAATATTGTTCCAATGCAAAATAATTGGATTCTTTTTAATGCTAATCTATTTAGCAACAAACTCTCTTGACCCCAACTTTTCAAGGACTTCTTTTCTGTTGAAACTGCAAACTTTTCAAATTACTTAGCTCTATCCTTTGCTTCTGATTTTCACTATAAAGCAGTCTAAAAGCTATTGGCAATAACAATACCACAGTCTGAATATTAGTCAGCCTTGAAATTTTCTCCAGATTAACAAATCTATTGCCCTTCATTTTTGTCTCCTGCAAAGACTCAAGGCATGGGAAAATTTAGACAAATTTTTGCCAGAGTATAACACATGTGGCTTTGAGTCCAACTACCAATGTTATACTTGTTCCTGGCTGAAATTCCCTCAGTTTGGATTTTACTGAATGCATTTCTATCAGCATTCTGGTCTTCTGAACTCTGAGCAGAAACTCCCATCAAGCTTGGCTTATAATATTCTAGGGCTTCTCTAGTTAACAACTCCAAATCTTTCCAAATTCTTCTCATAAACCAGTTCCAAAGGCTTTGAAACCATGTGGTCAGGTGTAGTCATAGCAACAACCCTGCTTCTCTGGGACCAATATGTTTTAGTTACTTTGTCATCACCGGGACAAAATTTATGACATTCATGACTTAAAGTAGGACAGGTTTATTTTGGCTTATTTTTAGAGTATTCAGCCCCTAGTTTGCTGGCTCCAAGGCAGAAAGGGTACACAATTGTATAATAGTATGTAAAGATAGTTTTAGGTGGTAAGCTCAGACGGAAAATTGTAGCATTTTTGAAAAAGTTGCTTATTTCTTTGGGTAAATATTCATCTTTGCCTGAAATATTTTTTTTTCTTTTTTCTGGGGGAAGGGGAGGGCACTAAGGGTTGAACCCTCTTAATTTTTTTTTAATGTTGAGATTGGTTTTCAAGTCACTAAGTTGTACACTTTGGGGTGAAACTTAAAATCCATTTGCCTCAGTCTACAGACTTCTGGGATTAAAAGTATGAACCACCATCCCAGGAATTGCTTGAAATATTATCAGAGAATTGCGTGAAACATTATTTGAGATTTAAAATACTAAAATACTAAAAATTCATGATGCTTTAGCAGTTGGACAAGTCTTATTTGGAAATATTTTGAGGAAACTCCAACTTTAAAAACACTTATTTACATGAAACTCATAAGCAAGTATATCTTCACTGCTTTATCATGTTTGCAACCTGGCCAGTAATCAGAAAACCAAATTGACTTAGAAGAAAAATGGAAGTAGAGTGGGAAAAGTAGAACTTCTACGCAGAAAGAATTATGGCAAATCATCACATCTGGGGAATACTTTGTTCATTCAAAAGATAATTATTGTGCCCCTGCATAGTGCAAGGACTTATGACAGTCACTGAAGACAAAGTGAATAAGAAAACTCACTATCCTTTTCCTCATGAGACTCCTAGTAAAAGAGGACACAAGGATACATAAAATTAATAGATGTGTATAATCAAGGAAATGATTTTAAAAATGTAAGAATTATCCATGCTACAAGAGACATTTTTCCAGTTAAGAACAGAACACATTTTTAATTACTCTGTTTTGCTAAAATCCCATTTTTAAAGGAGATTTAAAAAGTATAAATTTACAAAGAACAATATAGAAAGGCAGAAAAGGTAACATCCATTACATTGTGTGAATTGAATAGCAGGCCATCAAATGGTAATTGCTTTTTAAAAATTAAATAAATAAAAAGTAAATTAAATCATAATCACCCAATAGCAAAAAATAAAAAGTTACCTGCTTTACCTTGAAGATCCTTAAAACCTTGGGTATTGCTCAAATTAAACTCCTCTAAAATTGAGGGCAGATATAGAAATAAAATCAGGTATCTTTGTGGAAAGTCTGTATAAAATATAGATAAAATGCTAGATTGGATAACATAATATGACACATGGACCGGGTGGCTTAAATTAGAAATGTCCATTTTCTCACAGCTATGGAGGCTAGAAATCTGTGGCTAAGGTGCCATCCAATTAGTTTCTGAAGAGGGCTATCTTCTTGGCTTGTACGTGGCCATCTTATTATTTCCTCACCTGGCCTTTCTTTTGTATATGGAAGGGGAAAAAGAGACCTCTGATTTCCTTCCCTTGTCTTAGAAGAAAACAAGTCATACTGGATGAAGGCCTCACTATCATAAACTCATTTAACCACAATACGCATTTATAGATGATATCTCCAAATATATTCACTAGGGAGCTAGGACATCAACTTATAAATCTGGAGAGCCACGACTCAGGCCATAACATATACTACAATAGGAAAAAAAAGGTCAAATAAATAGGCTGGAATTTAGTTAGCAGAACTCACACAGAAGACAGCACAAGTCTTTATGCTATGTAGGCAAATCTGACCTCAGCAGGGCCAGGGCAGGCAGGGAGGGGTCGCTGCCCAGAAGCCCAATGGGACCTCCTTACAGCGATCCCCACTCTCCGCACAAATAAAATGTCTCTTTGTAATGCATCCATACATATTATGCATGCATATTTATAAATCACAAAAATATTTTACTAATTCAAAAATATTTTGCAAGCCAAAACCAGTTATTTCCTATTAGTTATTGTTGAAAAATAGCAAACATTGAACAATTAAATATAAATCTCCATATTTCAGAATTAGTGCCATTATTGAAGAAACTGAGTAGAGGACATGAAAGAAGGGAAAGAAAAAAATGCAAAAAGAAGGAAAGCATGGGAACAAAGCTTTGTAAATAAGGGAGGGATGGAGGAGTTAAAGGGAAGGACGGGGAATGGGAAAAAATAAGAACAAGGATACATCATGTACAGATACAAATTCTCAATGATGAAGGTGATCAGAATTCATACCTAAAATGTACCGATAAACTTAATAAATAAAAAAGTTTGGTAATCTAGCATGTTTGGGGTAAAGTTGTTGTGTAGGAGCGGAGTCAGGGACTTCCACATGAAGTCCCAAAATAAATCTGTGAAGCTCCAGATTCCTGGATCTGGAATCCAGGGAGAGAATCTTTGGCCCAGTAAAAGGGAGCATCCCCTGCCATAAATATTGTTTTTCAGAGCATTTGATCTTGATGTCAGAATTACCTTGAGTGTATGTTCTGGTAGGGGAACTCCCATTTGAATAACAAACACTAGATTGCACTTAAAAGTGTATAAGTGGATTTTTCATAGAAACTGTCTGTCATTTGTGTTAAGTTTTTGAAAACCAATTTTATTCATGCAACCTAACCTAAATTGTAAACAAATGAAAAAACTGAAAATCATATTTCATTAACTTGACCTCAGGATATATATTTTCCTTAGCTCTAGAATTTTTTCATGTTTACAAGGTTTGCTTTTAGAACATAAACTG